AGGGATGTGCAGGTTAGGGTGGATTGGCCATGCTAAATTGTCCCGTAATGCCCAGGGATGTACAGGTTAGGGTGGCTTGGCCGTGCTAAATTGCCCCGTGGTGCCCAGGAATGTGAGGGTTAGGGTGGATTGGTCATGCTAAATTGCCCTGTACTGCCCAGGAATGTGCAGGTTAGGGTGGATTGGCCGTGCTAAATTGCCCCATAGTGCCCAGGACCGTGCAGGTTAGCGTGGATTGGCCATCCTGAATTGCCCCATAGTGTCCAGGGATGTGCAGGTTAAGGTGGATCAGCCATGTGAAATTGCCCCGTTACAAGGTTACAGGGATAGGATGGTGGGGTGCTGGGTCTTGGCTGGATGCTATTTGGAGGATCAGCGTAGACTCAATTGGTGGAATGGCTTCTTTCCACACTGTGGGGATTTTGAGAGATTGCTCCGGTTGAGGAGAACAAGGGGGTGGGGAATCTCATGGGAAACCTGTAAAATTCTGAGGGGGTTAGGTGCAGGAAGGACATTCCCAATGCTGGGGGGAGTCCAGAACCGTGGGATCATAGCTTACCTCGCAGGACTGAGATGAGGAGAAATGTCTTGACAGGTGAGCTTGTGGAATTCCCTGCCACAGAAGGTGGTTGAGGCCAAAACATTGTGAGGAAGAGTTAGATATAGCTCGGAGGGAACGTATCGAGCTCATTCACTGGGTGCAGCCCCCCAGGTGTGGGTGGGGGACGGTGGATGGTGGACGCTGTTGGCTGGTTCACTGAGCTGACTGTCAGAGTTCATCGGGGGGGAGCATCTTACCACTGGGACTTTCGAAACAGCACAAGACATGGCTTGGCTGGTGGGTGAGAAGGGTCCATCCCAATCCTTCAGCATGGTCAGAGGCTCAATCCCTCCGCGAGCCAGCCTTCAAGGCAGGAAGAGATCACTGTCAAACTCCTTGCGGAAGTTCGTTTGCATCGGTGATCTTTGGAGGGGAGGGTGGACAGAGAGAGAGACCGAGAGAGAGAGAGAGAGACACACCGCGGTTGTTTTGTTTTGTCGAGGCTCATCCCCAGCAATCCTATGCCAGACTCTGATCTCCACAGGCTGTTCCCAAGGCCGTGGGCTGAGACAAATGTCAACTCGGTGAAGGACTGCTCGAATTTCCTGCTGGTCTTCCAGTGCAGGCGGCTATTGAGTTTCAAGGGCATGTCCCAAATTCCGGGACTACACAATGAAGGATGCAGTAAAGCTGGGGGCACCTGTCCTATAGGCACACTGGGGTAAAGGATGCTGTCTGTACTACACTCCTGCCACCATACACAGAGGGTCTTGTAACCTTTCAGGCTGTACATTTGACATAAAAATCTGGAATTAAGAGCCTAATGATGACCGTGAATCCGTTGCTGATTTTTGGAAAAACCCATCTGGTTCACTGATGCTCTTTAGGGAAGGAAACTGCCATCCTTACCTGGTCTGGCCTACATGTGACTCCAGACCCCACAGCAACGTGGTTGACTCTTCGACTGCCCTCTTGGGCAATTATGTCAGTGATGCCCACATCCCATGAATGAATTTTTTTAAAAAAAAGGTTATTAGAAATATAACCCATCATTGTAAGTGTAGTGAGTAATCTCAGAATGCCACAGACTTGTATTGACAGAAACTGATTATTTTGGCACTTTGAGAGTCCCAGAGTCATACAGCATGGAAACAGACCCTTCGGTCCAATTCGCCTGCACCAACCAAACATCTCAATTTGACCTGGTCCCATTTGCCAACATTTAGCCCACATCCTTCTAAACCCTTCCTTTTCATGTCCCTATCCAGATGTCTTTTAAATGCTGTTCTCTGATGCTAAGTTTGACCAGCTGTGATGTACCTTACAGACTTTATTTCCAAAACCATCCTTTAGTCATACAGGTTTACGATTGGTGGGGTGCCAGGAAACAGTCACAGTGCTTTTAATCCCCACGCTGTGACAAGCCCACACCTGCCCTCACCCTCCATTTTGTGTAAGGCAGTCCCTGCCGGGTTGGATGCAGATGAAATGTGTGTCATTTGCAAAGTGTGGGAGGACTGACACATCTTGTTTTCCCTCATTTTAATAATGCACAGTCCATTTTGCAATTGTTATCAGATCTGAACTAAACCATTTGACTAGCTTTTTATCCTTTTTTATGAAAAGGTATGATTTCAAACAGCATAAGTCAAGTCCTCAGATGATTGGAAACAAAAGCAGAAATTGCTGAAAAATCTCAGCAGGTCTGGCAGCATCTGTGGAGCGAAATCGGAGTTAATATTTCAGGCCCAGTAACCCTTCCTCAGAACAGATCTTTCCTTAGATGATTGGCCCGTTCCTGCTGATTGCTAGTCCAGTGACATTACCGCTGCACCTTGCCAGCTCCCCCATGATGGAGGGGTTGCAGATGACATTACTATGAGCTGATCTGAAAATGGCAGTCTGCCCCTGAAATTTGTGCCCCTTTATTCCTTCTCTGGGGTGTTGGCGTCACTGGGAAGGTGATGGCCTGGTGGTGTTATCAGTGGACTCTAAATCCAGATCCCCAGGTTAATGTTCTGGGGTTCACATCCTGCCACAGCAGATGGTGGAATTTGAATTCAAATAAACCTGGAATTAAGAGTCTAATGATGACCATGAATCTATTGTTGGTTGTTGGAAAAACCCACCTGGTTCACTAATGTCCTTTTAGGGAAGGAAACTGCCGTCCTTACCTGGTCTGGCCTCCATGTGGATCCAGGCCCACAGAAATGTGGTTGACTCTTAAACTGCCCTCTAGGTGATTAGGGCTGGGCAATAAATGCTGACCTAGGCAGTGACACCCTCATCCTGTTAATGAATTTAGAAAAATGCATGCATTTATTGCACGCCCCCCAATTACCCCTTGAACTGAGTGTGTTGCTGGGCCCAATTTGGACGGTGGTTAAGAGTTAGCCCCTTTGCTGTGGGGTCTGGAGCCATGTGTAGGCCCAGACTGGGTAAGGATGGCAAATTACCTTCCCCTATTAGTGATCTCTGATGGAGGTTTTTAACCACAATTGATGGTGGTTGTCACAGTCACCATCCCTAAGACTAGCTTCCAATTCCAGATTTTATTCATTGGAATTTAAATTCCATCAGGGTACATGATGATTGCCTGCTCCCAGAGCATTATCCTGGGGGCCTCTGGATTATTTGGTCAGTCACATTCCCATTCCCTGCTGGAAATTTAAGCCTTTCTCTTCATTTACCTGGCTGCGTTTGCTTTTTTTTTATTCATGGGACTTAGGCACTGCTGTCTGGGCCAGCATTTATTGCTCATTTCTCTAACTGTCCAGAGGGCAGTCGAGAGTCAACCCCATTGCTGTGGACCTGGACTCACATGTAGGCCAGACAGGGGTAAGGATGGTCGTCCCCTTCCTGAAAGGACATTTGCGAACTTGATGGAGATAGGTAGTAGGAACGGGAGCAGGCAGTTCAATCCTTCGAGCCAGCTCTGCCATTTAACATGATTATGGCTGATGTTATCCTGATCTCAACCCAATTTTCTTGCCTGCTCCCCATAGCCCTTTATTGAACCTTCCATCAGAAGTGCATCCATTGTTGTTCATGCTCATTGTTAGACTCTTAATTCTTAGACTCCTGATTCCAGATTTTTTTGAGTTCAAATTCCACCATCTGGGTGTCCCAGTAGAAGTAGGAAAATAGGGGAGTTGTCCACTGAATGCCAAGCTGTTTTTTTCCAGCTGTGTTTTTATTTTGCTGTGTTTGATTTGGAGCTGTAGCTGCTGCCGTAGGGAGGGGTAGTATGATACTGTGCATCGAGATGATCTCCTCCATCGTGTGCCCTGTGGCGTCAATGCCACACCTGGGGTGGTGGCCACTGGATTGCGAGTACAAGTCTAGTTCGAGGTTTCCTGTGGTTGGGGAATTTCCTCTAGGGCTTGGTGCTGACTGAGCTAGGGTTGGAGAACAGAAAGCAATGGTAAGGATGGAACAGGCCGAGCTCTCATCTTTTGGGTGTCTTCTTAGGCCAGAGGAAAACCGAGCACAATGTCTTAATCTGCACCAAGGAGGCTTACAGGGACCTGTGCTGCAGCTGAAGACGGAAGCTGGATTATTGCCAGTAATCCTCAGCCAGGATTTAAGAATTGGTCAGTATAGTATTCTTTTCAAAATTAAAATGCGCCCTTTTTTTTTGATGCCTCTGCTTTATATGTGCCAGCTAGGTGCAAACTTGCAGAACAAATTCTGCAATAACAAGGTGTAGAGCTGGATGAACACAGCAGGCCAAGCAGCATCATAGGAGCAGGAATGCTGACGTTTTGGAGGGTCTAGGTCCGAAACGTCAGCATTCCTGCTCCTATGATGCTGCTTGGCCTGCTGTGTTCATCCAGCTCTACACCTTGTTATCTCAGATTCTCCAGCATCTGCAGTTCCTACTATCTCTGAACAAATTCTGCACTTTTGAAGGAAGACTGGCTTCTTCAGCTCCTGCTTTCCCTTCCCTGCATCTATTGAGCAATGGAAGGTAGGAGTGGGGGAAATGCTGGTTAGCACCTCATGGCTGTCCCGCCATGCGGGTGACGTTGATCTGTGGCCCAACTCCAGGCAGCTGCCCATTTCTCCCAACCACCGTACCTTTCAGTGAACAAAGGTTCAGCAATCCCAGGAACTGGTCTGGTAAATCTTTGTTGCACACCCTCCATAGTCTGAAAATGCAGATGATCTGGTTTACGATCGTATTGTGCACGCAAAAACAGAACTTGCTGAGAACCTCAACAGTTCTGGCAATGTCTGTGGAGAGAGAAAACAGTTTCGAGTCCAGTGATGCTCCTTCAAAAAATATCAGACTTGCCCTGAAGAAGTGTCACACTGGAAAGCAGGACTGAAACTTTCTGAAGACACATCATTGGACTCGAAACATTAACCACTGTTTTCTCTCTCCGCAGACACTGCCAGACCTGCTGTGTTTCTCTCACATGTTCTATTTTTGTGTGTTTCAGATCGCCAGCATCAACAGTTATTTGTTTCACTTTCATGATTATATTGCTATTTGTGGGAGCTTGCTGTGTGCAAATTGGCTGCTGCATTTGCTGTGTCTCGACAGGGACTGCCCTGCTTCAGGAATTTTCTCAAAGCACTTTGGAGAGTCCCAAGTTTGTGATGAGTTGTGTTTCCTTTTAATGTCATGTCACATACTGTGCAAAGATTAAGGTCCAGAACGTTTGGAGACAGGGATGGGGAGTGAGAGAATACAGCACTTCCTCTGCAGAAGTGAAGCTTTGTCCTCTCTACTGACGCAGGGCACTGGAAATTTTATTTGTGCGCGTGTGTGTGAGTGAAGGGTTAGTGTCTCTTCTGCTGCACAGCAGCATATTAGAATAGGGCATAAGGTGAGAGGGGAAAGATTTAAAGGGGATCTAAGGGGCAATCTTTTCAATTAGAGGGTGGTGCTTGTGTGGACTGAGCTGCCAGAGGAAGTGGTGGAGACTGATGCAATTACAACATTTAAAAGGCATCTGGATAGGTATATGGATGGGAAGGGTTTGGAGGGATATTGGCCAAATGCTGGCAAATGGGACCAGATTTATTTAGAATGTCTGGCTGGCATGGATGAGTTGGACCAGACGGTCTGTTTCTGTGCTGTATTTCTCTGTGACTTTATCTTGCGCATGTCTGTCAAACCAGGTATGTTAACCACCTGAATTATTTGAGTGGGTTTGCCTCCCCATCCCCTGTTATCAGGTCATTTATCATGTCCACAGTGGCCACTTCCTCTCGCAACCTGACTTTCCAGTCAACTCATTTGTGAAGTCTTACAGGATGTGGATAAATGTAGATTGATCTTCTCCTCACTGGCTGCTGATCAAGATGGTCAGAGGGGAAGAAAGATTTTTTTTATATAAAAAAGCAGACAAGATGAACGAGTCGGTTGCACGATATCAAAATTTTTGGGCTTGACCAGATCAGAAGTGGAGGACTCAAGGGAGCTTGTGATACAAGAGATGAGTTAAATAGATTGAGTGGGCAGAGTGGAGTCCGAGACCCTAACTCTTTATTTCTTTGCCTCCTTTTCGGGGAGGTGGGTGTGGTGGTGGTGACGACGAAACAGAGCAACTCCTTTGTTTCCAAAAAAATGAAACCCGGATTTCTGAAGAAGGGTCTAGACCCGAAACGTCAGCTTTCCTGCTCCTCGGATGTTGCTTGACCTGCTGCGTTCATCCAGCTCTACACCTTGTTGTTTCATTTCTCCTGCCTCTTTCCATTCAGTATGCTGCTTGACACGCGAGAGATCACTTGTCAGGGCACATCTGCAACATCCTGTACCAAAGCCTGCAGATCTCTACATAGCACAGTGCACTCTTGCAAACAGAAAGTCCCAGAAATTCGGAAATTACCCTGCTCGTCCCAGTGGTGTGGGAGTGTGAGCAAACTGAGGTGAAAATTATCCTGAGTTTGATTCTATCTCTCTATCTCTCGAGGCCTGAGCTACATCCATCGCTAACTGCCAAACAAAATATGTGATGCTTCTTCAAGACGTTTCATTTGCGAACGCACCAATTGGGAACGAAAGGATATCTGTCAGCACCTCGAGCCTGTTCCGCTGTTCAATAAGATCGAGAGTTTTTGGAACTATACCTGAAAAGACAGTGGAATTGAAATGAATTTGGTTTATTGTCACATGTACTCGCATGAAAACAGTGAAAAGGTTACAGTCGCCACTTACAGCACCATGTTAGGTTCAAGAGTACCTAGGAACAGAAGCTTAGGTACAAAGCAGAAAAATAAGGAATACAAAGTTAACGGTTAAACATTACGGTCCTTCTTTCTAAAAAGTAGAAAAACAAAGAAGCACAGTTAGTAGTTCAACGCCACAGTCCATACGTGCCTGACCATGCTGGGCTTGACATCTCACGCTTCACACCCCGATCTGCCCGCTCTTGCTGTCACCCCTGCCCCGGGCTGCCTGCTCCCACTCACCCCCTTTTTGGGTTGCTTCCACTTCCACTCCCTCCCTTGACTGCCTGCTCCGGCTGTTGAGCCCTTGCCCTGCTTCAGGCTGCCTGCCTCAGTCCTGGAATGTTTCTGAGGCAGAGATTGATAGGTTCTTGTTAAACAAGGCAGTGAAATGTTATCGAGGTAAACAGGAATGCTAATATAAGTTTGCTGTTAGATCAACCGTAATCTTATTGAGTGGCACAGCAGGCTCAAGGGGCTGAAAGTCTACTCCTGCTCTTATTGCATACAGTTGTATATATGTATGTATATATTGTGGCAGATTTGTGTTCTGAATTCCACAATCCCATGGTTTCTTGCAAACCCTTGATTACCCAGCCCTCCCACCTAACAAGAATCTTTAAGATCTTTAAAAATATTCAATTACCTGCCTATACTGCCTTCTGAGGCAGAGAATTCCAAAGCAACAGAACCTGGCCTCTCCCCCTGAGAGAGAGAAAAAGATTCTCTGTCCTATAAGGGCAACCACACATTTTACAACAGTGCCTCATAATTCTAAACTGACGCCCCCCCAAAAAAAATGAAGAAACATCCTTGCCACGTCCACCTTGTCATGACCATTCAGGATCTTGAAAATCAATCTGTCTCCATCTTTGGCAGTGGATCTGGCATGCTAAGGTGTTTGTGAGGGTGTGCCAAATGGTGAGAGACAGGTGGAGCGCACAGGCCGGGCTGACGGTTTCCTTTCCCCGAAGGACGTCAAAACAGGTTTTTCTTTTTGTTTGTTTACAGGACAGTCTGTCAGCCGTGGTCTTATTGAACGTCAGAGCAGGCTTGAGCTGCTGAACAGTCTGCCTGTGCCTTGTTTCATGTGGTCGTATGTCAGCTTTACCTGTTTTCCTTTTAATTTTCTTTTTATCCTGTGTGTAGCAGTCTGTGATCTTCCTGAATATTATGTCACACTTTGACTGGGGTTGTTCAAGCAGCACCAGAGCTTGCAATACCATCGCAGGGGATTTAACCTGCTGTGTTGCATAATGTCAAGTGGGAATCTCTTGACACTCTGCACCTGTGACATTCCCTGCAGGTCTTGTTTACTGAGTGCTTGTTTCCTGATGCTGAAGCTCTGGAATTCTATCCTTAAAACCCGGCTACCTCTCCACACCTCTGTCCCCCTTGCTCTTGAAGATACTTCTTCAACCCAACCTGACTAGTGCTAAGAAGGTGAGTGAGTTGCCAAAGTTTCTGCTCTTGGAGTGTTCAGGATGAACACAAGAATGCTAAATTTCACACAGTTGCAATAATTGAGTTATAAAGAAAGGCTGCGTAGGGTCGTAGAGTCCCACAACATGGAGACAGGCCCTTCGGCCCAAACTGGTCTATACCGACCAAAATGTCCATCCACACTAACCCCATTTCCCTGCACTTGGCCCATATCCTTCTAAACCTTTCCTATCCATGTATTCATCCAAATGCCTTTTAAATGTGGTTAATGTACCCGCCTTAACCACTTCCTGGCAGCAGGTTCCATATGCGTTCCACCCCCTATGTAAAAAAAAAAGTTGCCCCTCAGGTTCCCATGTATTCTTTCCCCTCTTACCTTAAACTGATGCCCTCTAGTTCTTGATTCACCAACCCTGGGACAAAGACTGAGTGTATTCACCCTTTCCATGCCTCTCATGATTTTATACACTTCTGTAAGATCCCCCCTCAGTCTCCTACATTCTAAAGAAAAAGTCCTACCTTGTCCAGCCTCTCCCTATAACTCAGTCCCTTGAGTCCTGGCAGCATCGAGTTTAATAACATCCTTCCTATAGCAAGGTGACCAAAACTGAACACAATATTCCAAATGTGGCCTCATCAACGTCCTGTACAACTGCAATATAACTTCCCAACTTCTGTACTTTATTGCCCTGACTGATGAAGGCCAGTATGCCAAAAGCCTTCTTCACTGCCCTGTCTACCTGTGACTCTGCTTTCAGAGAACCATGCACCTGAACTCCAAGGTCCTTCTGTTCCACTACACTCTTTAAGGCTCTACCATTCATCATGGAACTCCTACTTTGAATTGACTGTCCAAAATGCAACACTTCACACTTATCTATATATAAACTCCATTTGCCATTCCTTGGCCTACTTCCCGAGCTGATCAAGATTCTGCTGTAATTTCTGATAACCTTCCTCACTGTCCATA